AACTTTACCTTGGAGTTGCAATGGCTGAAGAGCACAGATACTTAAAATTGTATATTATCAGCTAAGGCAGGATGGGAAATACATAAAATATGAAGGCTGTGATTTCTCTAGTGACCAGAGTAGTGCTCAAATACTCACACTTGTTTGCTTATTCCCTTTCACATCAGCTGAGCCAAATCAGCTGCTTGTATACTCACACATTAAAGTGGGCCAATGCAATCTCTGTGGTTTAAAGCAACATTCCATAAATACAGTGGCTAATGGTATGGGAACATTTTAAACCAAGCTTTCTGCTGGAGAAATTTCGTAGAAAATGCATTTTCTATTTGACTCCATCTCATTTATTTTCTAGAATTTCAATTTGGGGAGGAGGGACTTGGAGAGGATAATAGAAAAATAAAACATGATACTGCAAGAGTTAACTCTTCTAGAACTTTGATTTGCATGTGAACAACTTCTGTTGATAAGGACTAAATGGTTCTGAAGACTTAATGTCCATGTGCAATTTGTTGTGTCTTGCAGGGCTATGGAAAAGCAGATCACTCAGTCACTGTAGAGATACTGAAGAAAGAGTATGCAGATTATGAAATTACATGGTCAGATGACAAGAAATAAACTTGTGAACACAATGAGCAGTTCCAGCCTGGTAACTGTGAGCTGTACTTTGATAAATAAAATTGAATGTGTGTTCTATGTGTGTAACCATAAATCTGGAGTGACTGGACTCTGCCATAGTTTGTAATATAATCCTCAGATATATCTTTTTTTTTAGATCATTCCTTTGTGCAGAATCTGAAGTTCAAACCCTTTTTCCTTTCCTTTTGATGTGCCCTTTAGTTAAACACTCCCACACCATTTTACCTCTAATTTGTTTTCATCCAGTCCCATTTCACTGATCTACTGTAGGACACCTAAGGATTTACCATCAACTTCAAACACCACTGGACCAAACCTGTTCACTGGTCTGTTGACCACAGTGTTTTCCACTTGTTTTTCTATTACTTTTTAGGCTTTTCATCTTTCTTACCCACATTAAAAAGAAAAAAATGGTGTGGAGGGTGGGGTTGACTGTTACAGTTCTTCACCAATGATCCAGATCTTTGATTTACTCAGTGATTTTAAGATCTAGTATTCTGCAGAAGTAATGATCAAAATATTTGATTTTCCTGTAAGAACCTTCCCTGTAGCAGACTGATGGCAATGTAAAATTCTGCCAGTGCTTCTTTCATTCTGATTCCCCTGGACTGCTTTGATTTGTGTGAATTTAAGAATGCTTTTTTCTTTTTTTTTCCTAGCAATAATTATGTGATAGTAAACTACCTCCTCAATACACCTAGGCAGTATCTGAATTAGCTACATCATCCTCCTGTTGTGGCAGGATGTTGCCTTTTGTTTGTTGTGAAATGACATGCTATAATTTTCACTTTTCTTGTTTCACGACAGTTTTCATTTCATTCAATTGTGGATTTATTGACTTGCTGTCTTGAAGGCTTGCTGACTTCCAGAGGTATATCTATATATTCTCTATATATTCTCAATATATTCTTCCCTTTTCTGTGGTTCCTACTGCATTTACCCAGCAGTATCTGGTAGTATAGGGAAGCCTTTTCTTTTCAGCATGCAAGTGACTAACAGTACAAAACAGGAAATGTGAGAGACTTTAGGCCAGTTTCTATCACCAAAAATCCTGCTGTTACTCCCTTCTTACAGTTGTGATCCATCTTTCTGTGGCTTTGTTTTGGTTGGGTGGGGAGGAATTTTGTGTTCTCATCCTCAAACCTTTCACTCTACTCCTCACCCGAAGAGTTCCAGGGGTCTCTTTCCCAATAATGTCCTCAGAGCAGAATCTCCTGAACCTGGTGCTCCAGGTCTCTTGGTTGTCACCAGATTCCCCCCGCTTGCAGCCTGGATTTTCCCCTCCAGCAGCCTTGCCTGCTCTTGCATCTCTCTTTGTGCTTCTCTTGGAGTTCCTGTGCAGTGGTTATCTGGCTGCACTTCAGATACAGTGGTAATGACTGCAGGATTGCTTTTACTTAACAAAATTTTGATTTCAGAGCCTGTGTGCCTAATAACCAAGAATAGCACACAAGTCAGTAACCTGCAAATAGGGCACTTCCCAGTTCCATTATCATGGGCTTTTTCCCCCCTAAGCTTTAGTAAAATAACTGTAGCTGCCAGTACACAAACCTGAGTTTTAAATAGCCTCATTTCCCAAAACTGGCAAATAGTCTTCAAATGGAAGTCATCAGTTAGGGATAACTGTGTTAAAACAAACAAGCCTTTCAATTTAGTTTCCTGAGGTATTTAATGAGTGATTTTAATCTTTGTCTCCACAATACTTACAGGAAAGACATCATTTACACGGGACCTGTTACTGTAATGACATGTTCAAAATGTGAGGGGAGAAAAATGCTGATGATTTGGAGTCGGCTGATTAAAATTGAGTTACCAGCTGAACTCTACCTTTTATTTCTTCACAGAAGAAAGATTTTAATGTATCATTAAAAAAAAAATACTTTGAGGGACCTCCCAATTCAGTTATTTTTTTAGTGCAGTGTCATTTGGGGCAATTTAATTTCCTTGGTCATTAAGTAATACATATAAGTGTTACATATGAGTGAAAAGTTTATTTTTTTCTTTTCTAGTTTGTGAAGAGGAAGAGGACACCGGTCACTAGGGTGGTGAGGATTTCTCAGGTAGAGCAAACCTTAATGGTAGATGAGGGAAATTAGTATTATTTGACATTGAAACATCAGGAACCTACAAAACTAAGTGCCGAATTCTGCTTCCTCTCAGTATGTACCTGCTGAATTTTAAGAACAGAACTCATCTAGAATATGGAAATCCCAATGCTAGTTATGCTGATTTTACCTGAGAAAAAGCATCCTTCATTTTCTAACCAGATTCTGAAATTGGAAGCTAATACCCTGTGTGGGGTTGTTTGTTTTGCAGGTGCACGATCACGGTAAGATTGTGGCTCTGCCATTCTTCCCTCAAAGTCCTAAGAGTTCTGGTTCTGTGTTTCCAAAAAAACAGCTGTGTTTGAGCTGAAGTGAGTGAAGGCACAATAATTAAACCAAAGATGGTGAGTTTGATAATGGAATATTATCAAGAGGACATACTATAGTAGAATATTTTAAGTACCTTCATTTATTCATCCAAAATGACATGAGATTCTTGTTTCTAATCATATTCTTTGTCATTTCTTACTACTTGAGGTATAGTTCTCTGGAACTGCACTAGACTAGCAGGTGTAGAACAACCTATTCAGTGCAAGCCATGATTTATCTTAGGATTGAGTTTGAAAAATGACAGATGGTAACCCATTTGTTTCCAGTGTCTCTGCTTTGACAGAAAAAAAATAGAGCTGTTAACAGTACCTTCTTGATTTGCTAAAGCTAAAACTTTTTTTGTTCCTCAGTCTGTAATCAGCAGTTCTCATCACTAAGTTTCAGTTGGTGCAGAAGAATTCCAAAGCACCATGGCACACATGGCAAAACTGGCTTTTTTCCTCACTCTCCTATCCTATGAGAGGCTAAATTCAGTAGTTTCCAAAGCATCAGTTTAAAATACTCTGAAACGGTAGTGAAGGCTCTTCTGTGAAGTACAGGAAATCCTTTACAACTCTATCTTAATAGCAGCAGGTTCAAAATGGGAACCTTGGGATTGATTTTCAGCACCTTCAGTGATGGAAACTTGATGGCATAATTCAAGTGATTTAGATCACTGCTGTGCTAAGTTTCCATCCCCTCAGACTATTTCCTTCTGCTCTACACTGAATATCCTTGCAAGCAGTTTACAGCAGTGGTCACTGTCTCCAAGTTTATATTTCTGCAGGGGCACCTGATAAAGCAGTGCACGGTGACAACAGCTGTGTAATAGCTTTCTGTCTGGTTTTGGCCAGGGTAAAACATGCCGTGGATTTCCTTTTTTTTTTTTTTTTTTTTTTTTTTTTTTTTTTTTTTTTTTTTTTTTTTTTGAATTGCTGGTAACAGCAAGCGCTCAAAACCAGATTTTGTAGTTCTTTGGGAGTTTGTCTCCAGTGATTTCTTCAGCAACATCACTGTCTTCAGCTTACAAAAGTGCCTTGTACTGCAGGCTTTTCTGAGTGCTTTCTGTCCTGCCAAACTGCTGTGAAAGGATTGAAGAGGTGTGGATGTTCAGTAGTACCCCCAGCAAGTTTAGAAAACGGGGCAATTAACTAATGGAAAAATCTTGTTAAAACAGTACAGTAATCTATTCAACTCCTGTAATAGTATATTTTATCTCCTTTTCCAATTGTCTCCTAAACCTCAGTTCTATCATCCTCCAGTATTTCATTTGTAGGCTTGTTGGTTGGTATAAGGAGCTTATCTTGTGTAGAATATTCTTTCAAGTCAGCTTCTAAACCAGCACGGCTTTTTCTAATTCCTTGCTGAAATTTTCTTAGCCTATGACAGAACCTGAATGTGAAAATTTACATACCACGGTGGTTAATATTGTTACACTCTTTAAAGGGCTTGAATACATCATGTGTGCATTACACATGGAAATATTATGTGGATTTCTGAGATCTCCACGAGTGATAAATACAATCACATCCCCCTCTGCTGGCAAAGCAGCAGAGCTCAGAGCTGTGTGGTCCCTGCCTGAATCTGGCTGCAGTTAGGCTGCCCAAACCTTGAGTGCAAACTCACCATCTCTTGCACGAATTTTGGATGCTACATTTATCTCATTTAGCCACAATGTGTCATGTCTGTCATTCCTGTAACGTACAGTTCTGGTGCTGACCAAGAATGTGAAAGCCTGGCTGGAGACAATGACTTGCTTAATCTTTGTATATAAATTAATGATCATAAACAGATGCTGCTTTAAGTGCAAAGTCAACACCAAAAAAGTCCCTCACTTCTAGTCAGACACCAGAATTTGTCAAACACTTCAACAACCACCATCCTTAATTTGTTAAAGCAGAATAAGAGAGGAAAAAGCAAAGAGACATGAGGATTAAACCATTTAAAACATTTTTGAGCTATTTTTGGTAGATCAGTAGTTTAATTTTAACAGGAATTTTTAAAGGCAATTTCCATAATGCATCGCTGCAGACCCTGATCAATTGTTTTAACCATACTGGTTTTAAACACGTTTTTGTCTTCTATGAATTTCTCAAAGAGATAAATACCACCACCAACTCCAAAATAATGCACTTTGCTTGCCAAATACACACGGCCATTTCTATGCAGGAGCTGAGCCAGTGTATCATGCAAAGCACTGTAGTAGTCAGGATTATAGATGGTCTCAGAAGTGAGAATTATATCGTACTTCAAACAGGGTTTGTTGCTGTTTAACAGGAGCTGGCTGACTTGAGACCACTCTCCAGAAAAAAATCTGCATTTGTTGAGCACATCAGGTGAGCCCTCTGCTTTCCTGGGCCTCTTTGAAGGAGGCTTGCTGGCTTTTCTGTCCTTCCCACTGCCCATCCTCCTGCCTTCACTGATACAGTTGGCCACCACATTAGGCAAGGTTATTTCATCAATCACTGTGCTGTTGTAGTCCTGAAAATGGACTCTGGCAGCTTCACCTTGTAAAGCAACAATTCCCAACAATCCAGCTCCACAGCCAAGATCCAATACAGTCTTGTTGGTAAATTCTATTTCAGCCTCAGAAAAGTAGTCCATGAGATCAAAGGTGCATTCCCAGATTTTCAGCCCTCCTTCATAGACTCCAGGGATGAGATCAGAGTGAGAAGAAACACTTTTGGACACGATGCCTTCGCTGTCAGCATCACCTGAACATGTCCTTTCCACTACAGACAGCTTTACGTAAGACAGGTCCAATACTGTTTCCATGACTTTATTTTCCAATACTTTGTTGAGATCTTGGGGAATGCTGTGCTCCTTGGCAGCTTTCACACAGAGGTTTTTCTTCCAAGCTGCCTCATCCTGGTGCTTAGCAGCAGCCAGCTTCGGGCTGGCCTTTGCTGCGAGATCGGCAGTTCCCCTGCTCTTTTCCCTGAGTTCCTGCTTGTGTTCTGGAGAGCACAGCACTAAAACCTGAGCCTCTGCCTCACTGTGCTCATTTTCATCAACATCGAAATTAAATCGAAAATCCATTTTCAGGAATAAGTTTTCTAAAAGCTTAATTCATTACAGCCAAGCTTTTATGTAGGTACTGTTGCAGGACAGAGTATTTCCCTGGTGCAATATCAGATGTCTTGCCAAGAGCCAGGTGAATTGCTGCTGGAAATAAGAGTAAATAGTTTCATGTATCATTAATATCGGCACACACCGTCTAATTGTACCATCCTGATTTTCATTACCAGGCTCCCCCGGAAAGTCGTAGAGTCTCCCTCTCTGGAAATATTCCAAATCCACCTGGACACGTCGCTGTGTTACCAGCTCTGGGGGATGCTGCCTTGGCAGGAGGGTTGGACCCGATCATCTCCAGAGCTCCCTTCCAACCCTAACTATTCTGTAATTTTAAAAAAACGCTCTCTAGCCACTTAAGTTTATTAAAACACAGCGTCGCAGCTGACCCCATCCCACCTACCAGACAAGGGAATCCGGACAGCTGCCAACCCCGCTAAAACCCGCATCTCCGACTCGGCGTTTCAAGGGGCGCAGACTCACCGCGCGGAGCGGTCGCGCAGGCCGGCGAGGGGCTCCGGGAGCCTTTCCCGTGCCGCCTTCCCTGCCCCGTGCCCGCCCGTGCCTTCACCCGCGGAGCCGCTTCACCCGCGGGGCCGCTTCCGCTTCCTGGGCGCGGGGCGTTGTGGGAGCGCGGGCGCCGCTCGCGCCGCGGGCGCCGCTCCCGCCGCCGGCCCGCGCCGAGGGAGCGCGGCCGCCGCCATGTCGCGGGCGGACCCCGCGCTGCTCCTGCGGGAGCTGCACGGCTGGGACGGGGAGCTGTGCCGCCGGCAGCTGCCCGCCGTGCTGCCCCGGCTCCTGATATCCTTCCCAGCAGGGCACAGCGCTGGCTGTGGGAAAGGCGCGGCAGCGCTGTTGGAGGGGGGTGTGTGCATCCACGGTTCCACGGTTCGGCCAGGTTGTGTGAGGGAGAGCGGTGGGACCTTTGTGAGGGGTCGGGTGCAGCCTTTCCCTGGAACAAAAGGCTCCTAGAATCTAGAACATCGCGTGCGGTTCATTTAGCGCTGTGGATAACTGCCCGAACGCACCTCTCACCTGCCCCCTCAAAAACAAACCCAACCCCCTAAAAAAACCCCAACCACACAACACCGGGAAAAAAAACTCCAGAAAAACAACCTTCAAGACTTACTCTCTAATACATTTTGGAAATGCTTTGTTGATCCTGTGGGTACTCTAGGCTGTCAGCCCGCGTTGGTTGTGGAGCATCCACACCAATTTCATACGAACGTGAGACAGTGATAGAAGTCGCTGTGGCTTCTGCAGGTTCTTTGAAGTTAGCCTTTACAGCAGAACAAGTTTGATTTTCTTTAACGTTTTTACTCAATGTATGAAGAGTCTGAGGACTGGACTGAGCATATTCGTAAGTAATGGCTAAGAAGTGCCTCTTCCTGTGGAGCCCTGTATTGCAATTGCATTAAAATCACTGCAGTGTTCGAAATACTTCTGCTACAACTTTTCAGTCTTCAGCTATCCTGCTGGACCTTGCACACTCCACTAAGTTCACATTGAATACGCTTAATAAATGCCCCTATAGGCACTCTGCATCTAAGGCTGCTTTTTCCTTTCTGCTAATTCTGATCTTTAAGTGCACAAGAGAAGGGTGTTTTTCATCTGGTGTTTAATTGTCTTTTTGGCTGTTATCTTCCGGGTGACAAAGCTGATAGTTAAAAGAAAATGAGGCTAGTATGTAACTGTTTACGAGTGTTGCTAAAACTGTTACATTGCGTATCATGTTGCATTATAAAAAGTTCTACTATTTGCAGTTTGGAATGTGGCAAATGCTGGATCTGTAGGCTGGCAGTTGTGCTCAGCCTTCAGCTAAGTTTAGTCAGGTGTGCTGCTATTTTTGATGGGTTTTTGTATGTTGGAGCTATTACAGATAGTTGATTTTTCAGATAATGTATGTGTGTTTTCATGCATTTTGGATAAGGCAAGTGCTCTGTTGCCTCTCTCAAAATCAAGTGCCTGATTTGTTTCTGCTGCCTGCAGATCTTTATTTCCTTGGTAGGTTGCTGTATATTTTTGTGAATTACACATTATAAATGTTTTTCTTTGCAGGTATTTTGAAGATCTTGACTGAAATGTTTTTGCCGCATATCAGCCTCGAAGATGTAGAACAAGTTTTTTTCTCAAAAGTATTACCTAAGGTAGGACAGCTTCAGTTAATTGTGGAATTGTCTGTCAGTCCAATGTTAGAACCTGCTTAGATTGCAGTGGTTCTTCTTTTGAGGTTGCACAATATCTTTGGGATATAAAAATTGAAATTGAAATTTACTCGTTAAGAGTTTTCAATGTTGCATTGAATTGTTTCTGTGATTGTTCTTTACAGTAGGGAGGGAATCAAATATGCAATGTTCTGCTTTCTATATTCAGCAATAGACTTGGGTTTTATTTCTTTCTGAGAAGATTGGACTTTTTATAAGATGACCAAGGTGGAGAATTTTTAAGCGAGGGAGCTTCTCAGGACAAGTAAACTGAAGAGCTCAACACTCCCATATCATGAATGAATGTTGTGAAATTTGTGAATTAATATAGTGAATAGACTTTTAGACCACACTGACCTCACACATGCTTTCTTTTTTGATTAAATGATGGAGAATTTTGTGCCATAGGTGTGTTAAAATCAGTCCTTGCATTTTAAGTGAAGTAAAACGGTGACAAATTACAGATTTAAGTTTCAAGCCTCAGCTTGTCCATTTTAAAAAGCCAGTAAAAACGGCCAGTTGATATTCCTGTTATTTTATCTCAAGTAACAAATTTTTGGAGATTACAAGAAAATTGTCTCATAATAGGCACATCCTGCACGTGTCTCACTGTCTTTGCAGTCTCAACAGTAACATTCATCAGATATCCAAAAACCTCAACTAAAGTAGAAATAGATGTTGTTTGCACATCACATTTTTTTAAATGTATTCAAGATGTTAATAATCATTCTCAACAAGCAAATTATTTTTTCTGAGACAAAAGGAATTTTTTTAAATTATGTGGCTTTAAGTATTTAAGTAGAATAATATATTTAATATATAATATTAAATAATATATAACATTATTATATATTATATATGAAATATATTATGCATTAATAATATGTTTCAAGCAAATTAGCTGCAAAACCTGTTTTAGCAACAGATCTTAGAAAAAGTAACTATAAAAAGCTACAATATCTTCTGTTTATTATGTATATATATATATATATAATAAGTGGTTTTTGCTTCTTGTTATATCATGTTTTATGAATTAAATGAATGACATGAGATGCTGGAAATGAATGAAATGCTGGAAAGTATTTTCTCCTGTGAGTTCTCTCTGTGCCTCCATGCCAAGGCAGCAAGCAGGTGTAGAATGTTGTTATTATTTGCACATGTACCTTTGTAAGTAAAATGTTTCAGTTTTGTTGTGTTCTTCCAGACTCTACAGTTCTTTGATAACTTGATGTGTGAATTATCCAGCAAGGCCAAAGGACTGACCAGCCAGAGTACTGAGTTATGCAGTACTGTAAGGAATCTGCTACAGGCAAGTCCCATCACACAAGCTGTCAAAATAATGTTTACATCACTCTTTGCTTTTACCTAAACTACTAAAGGTTTTTAGAATGTTTTTTTGCCAGCTACTGGTGGTTAAAATGGAATTTAAACTTCCTTTGCAGTTGAAGTTCAGTTGACATTTTGTGAATGATTTGATAACATTTAGTATGTGATGCTAGTAATAATTTTAAAAAATCATCTCAGATTCTACTCCAAGTCCCTCCTGCAGATGGAATGTGACTCCCCAGGTGAACCTGGCACTTGTTTATACATATGTCACTTCTTTCTGAATTTTAACATTTTTGTAAATTGAGAACAATAATGAAAGAAATAAGAAGTTTTCATAGAGGGTATGGTATCAGAGAAAAGCTCTGGAGCTTCATTCATCTTTCACAAACTACTTATTTATGCAAATAGCAGTGAACTTTAAATGTAGTGAAAATCGAGGTGTATTTCAGCTAAGAAAAGGTGCTTTTGGAGGTATTGCAGGAGTGTGTGATGTTCAGTTTTCATCTCAGGCAGTGGTGCAGCTGCTGGAGACGCTGACAGGCTGCGTGCGCTACATGTGCTCGGTGCAGGAGCTGTCCCTGCAGAGCATCCGCTCCCTCCCCTCCTCCGTCCTCTGCGTGGTGAAGAGCACCTTCACACACTGCAAGGTAGGGCTCTGCTGGGAGCACACAAATCCTTCTGCTCCTTGGCTTTTGGGATACACTTTAGAAGAAGATCTTATTTTGAAATTATACTGTTGTCGAAGTATTATTGTTTTAATTTTAGTTGTTAAGTCATTTTCAGAGTGCACTCAGTGCACAAGTACAAAGATGATTTCAGCTCTCTGCCCAGCAATCTGACCTGCTAGTGAGAGGCTCAGACTGGAATATTTCCATCCTTTTCATCAGTGTTAACTAAACATTCTGCTCAGGTGCAGAGTGCTCTGAGGGATCTGTGCAGTCCTGATGGCTACAGTATTTACATAGCTACAAATGGCAAGTTCCAGAGTGGATTGAAAGCTGAGATTAGCAGGTTTATGTTGCTTACAGTGAGCAGTGTGTATCAGTTTCAGATACGGACTGATCTGGATTTTCAGGTGCAACAGTAATTCCCTCTAATCATTGAAAATAAAACAAGATTATCATAAGGACACACTAAGTTTTGGTTGCCTTTAATTTTCACTTTTAATATTTCTTTTTTTATGGGAACATTTACAACAGTTTTCCATGTCAAGACTCAAACTCAGGTGCCATATCTTTATCTAGTAATTCTAATATAAAAGTACTGGGAAGTCTTTGGAATACTGCTTTCTTTGCTACTGACATTGTCCTGTTTGGTTCAGAAATATGATCTCAGGTTCATACATGGAGGCCTGATCAAAAGCTCCCTAAACTCACAAGAGCCAGGCAGACTCCATTAGTTTCCCATGAGCTGCAGATGAACACATTTTATATTGAGTGCGCAGGGGATGTCTATTGAGTTAAAGTAGGTACATCTGTGTCTTATTCTTCTTCTCCAGAGGATTGTATGGCAAAGCTCTTGGTGTTTTCTGCATGTGAAGAATCAAGCTGTGAGTCCTTAGCTCTTTTACAAAACTCTCCTCCCCATTTCAGGACAGTGAATCTGTGTACAATGGGCACCTGCACTTAATTTCTGACCTCCTACAATCCATGTTCAAGGAAACTTACTCCCTTCAGAAACAGCTGATGGAACTGGTTGATCTGATTTCCTTAGACTCTGCTTCCAGTGAAGATGACATCACATGTATGGTGTCAGGTATACATGAATTTGATACTTTTTTAGTCTTGCTCAGTCTTTTTCCTATGGAGAGTTTGTTCAAAATTTTAAAACAGGTTTCTGAGTGTGCTCAGTTCCTGCTGCTCTGGCCAGCTTTTTCAGAAGGCAGCATTTTGAACTTGAAATATTTCCATTTTTCTCTTGAAGCTTCCTCTGTGGAAATGTGTAGATTTGTAGGATAAGGGTAGCACCTGAAAACTGAGCCATTTTCCTAATTCATGTCAATGTTCTGGTATTCTCTCAGTATTCTCTTGGGATTGATGTGAACTCAAAAATCTGATTTA